AGAACCTAAACAGGAGAACAAACAGGTTATTTGGATGCAGTTTTGAAAAAAAAAAGTCAAAACTAATTATTTTTTGAGTCATTTTTGACTCCAGTGCAGCTCGTACCGCCGCTACTGGTGGTTCCAAAACCGGTGACCCAGCTGTTCAGGCCTGCTGGGAAGACGCTGTCCGCTGTAGCCAGACAAACAGGACTGATGTATTTGTTGAAGGTCACGGTGGAGGACAGCTGCAGCAGGGTCACGTCGTTGTCATTCGAATTGCTGTTGTAGTTCGGATGAACGATGACCTGTGATGCTGTGAACTGCTGCTCGTTGGGATTGAAGCCATTTACGTTTTGCCGCCCGAGGTAAATTGTCACTCCTTTRGAGGCGGAGCTGAGAAAATCAAACATCAATATTAAAAGTGAGAACAGTGCWATAACACAGACAGTTCAAACACTGACTGCAGTCAAGCCTGTAGGTCACATAAACTCCTGCTTCCACATGGTTTTCCCTCAGATTCAGCTGAGTGCACACCCATGTRAGATGTCTGTAAAACGTCTGGAGTATCTTTCCAACTGCATCGTTTSATAGAGTTCAGATCATCTTATTAATGTTTTCATTCTCTGCAGAGAGAACATGACTCCAGTTCAGAACTCACGTTTTAAAGCAGTGAGCGGCGGTCAGGACCCACTGGTTGCTGATCAGAGACCCCCCACAGAGAGTAGAGCTGGTACTGTTGATTGGGATCAACAGGTAGGCATGCCAGGGCCAGGCCCCCGGAGCCCCTGTCTGACCTCCAACAATCCTGGTTTGCTCCTTGGTGTTGAGTGCAGCAAGGCCACAATCTGCTGGAACACATTAATATTGTATTTAGACCAAAGAATATATGACTTTGACTGTTTTTCTATCCAAAATAATGTAACAAATAAGGTTTGTCATTTAGCAAATGATGCACTATAGAGAAATCAAAAACAAAGGACGAGAGGTGAAAACACAGATGAGCACAAAAACAAACTCAGAGGTAAAGAATCAGGAAATAAACTTAAAACACGAGGAAACAATCTTTAGGACAAACAAAACAGGTAATATGTCCTGATGCATCTCAGTAATCCAGGTAAAAAATCAAAAGGAAAAAAATTGTATAGGTCTTCTGGACGGTTCTTCTCTAATGAAACGTTTCGTCTCT